CGTGGTGACGAGCTCCCTGGTGGTGAGCTACCTGGATGGACTCGTCATTCGACCTGCTCCTAGGCGGCCTATAACTCAGAGGGTGGTGGAGCTCCCTGGTGTAGCGCAACCCGACTGCCCTCTGCATGAGGTGATCTCCTCTCCTTTGTAGGCGGCGGGAGCTGAGAGACCTGCGAGAACTCCACCTTTTCCTCCTCTTTGTAGGCGACGAGAACTGAGGAACCTGCCAGAACTGAATTAGAGGACCCGGGGGTATTTACCCGACGGGGACTCTCCGATGCCTAAGTTAGCATTCTGATTGCAGAGAGCTTGGAGAGAAATGAGAGAGCTAGAGAGCTGGGATTACCTCCATTTTTCCATTCTCTCCCCTTTTGTCTTTGGGGGTCGGAGTCCTTGTATAGCGGTGTCCAGTCAAATCAGGCGTAACCGCCTCTGTCAACTCAGGTATAACCTCCTTTGTCTCTCTACCGCAGCCGTTACTGCTAGAGCTGAGGTGGCGGGTGCAGGCAGCTGTTGCAGGGTACGGCTCTGCCAGGCAAGGGACAACTCTCAGGGCTGACAGGCACGGCGCTGCCTGGCGAGAGACATGGGCGTAGGTCTCCGGATCTATAAGGTACGGTTGTCAGGCAAAAGATCTTCCTGCGATACGCCAAGCTGCCCTTAAGTGGCGAGCTACCTATGCCGAGCTGCCTGTAAGTGCCGAGCTCTTCATAAGACGTCAGGCTACCTGTGGCGAGCTGTCCCTAAGTGGTGAGCTACCTATGCCGAGCTGCCTGTAGGTGCCAAGCTGCCCCTAAGTGGCGAGCTCTTCGTAAGACATCAGGCTGCCTGTAAGTGCCAAACTGCCCCTAAGTGGCGAACTACCTAGTTGTCAAGAGGCTGTACTTAGTTGGCATGAGGTGTCAGGTGTCATATTTTCACTGGAGGGCCAAATCCGCCCTCATCAGAAAGAAAAGAAAGAAAGGAAGGAAGAAGAAAAATGTAAGAAAAAAAAGGAAATGAAGGGGAGAAAGGAAAGAAAAGAAGGAAGGAGGGGAGAAGGAGGGGGGAAGAATAAGGAATAAGAGGAGGATTCGACGTTCACTGGCGATAGCGACGGCAAGGTGGTAGCAACCAAAACACAGATCAGATCTCAGATCTAATTTCTCTTCAACATTTGCAATCTTCTTCTTCTTCTTCTTCTTCTTCTTCTTTCTCTACTGTATCTGGGATCTAGCGATCTCAGATCTGAGGTCATTCTTGTTTGAGTTTCTCCCCTCTTTGATCTCCTTGCAACTTTATTGAACCGCAAACCGTTGTCCGAGTCGACGGTTTGACTACCCGGGCTAACAGTTATCTAACCAAGTCAGTGGTTTTTGGTCCAAGAATGGGTTAAGAGTAAAGCGGAACCGGTTTCTTAGACGGTTTCTGGGCTGAATGGTTCAACTGTTCAAGTCAACGACAGTTCAAAAACACTGATTAGTAGTGAAATTTTTTTCTCAAGAATAATTCTTGGGATAGATCCGACCAGGTTTAGCCCAATTAGGAATAGGAATATCATGAGACCAAGGATCAACATTTTGCAACATATCAATCTGTATCTACCAATATATATTGTACCCGTGGGTCACCATACATGAATTACACTTTGGGATTTTGACCTATTTTAAGGGGTAAGCAAGTCTTATACCGACCCTTGGCCCTGAACAGGATTGAGAAAAAGCTAAAATAAAATATAAGGCGCAACGTTCCAAAGTCCAATATGCCCATCCAACATATAAAATTGCATCAATATTTAGGCTATGTTTGGGAGTGTTTATGTTAAAAATAAGTGATTAAAAACAAGTGCTTTGAATATGCACTTATTTGCATTTGGCACCCAACTTTTTCAAATAAGCATTTATTTCATATTGGGCGTTTGGTAGT